ATGTCGAAACATAAACGCTGATTCTCAAACCAAATCTAAGATGTACTTGCAAAATTTGTGCACACTTTAGATAATTGTGCGCATAAAAAGACATGCATTTGTCGATCTGGCTGTCTGCATGAGTATTTCAGTGTATGAGTGTGCGCGTATGTGTGGCTGTTGTGAAAAAACGCCATTATGCGAAATTTAAACGTGCAAATGTGTCTTCAGGGTCTTTTCGCCAGAATTTTTCAATGTTTCGGCGAGCCGTCGACTAGCAGCTGGCTGCCAGCAGCCTTTAGGCCATGTTGTTGTTGCTTGTTTTTGCTTTTTGTTTGTGTGTATTTACATATGCTTTTTTGTGCTTTTTGTCAGCGGCATTCAGCGTTATTGAGGTGTAATTTTTTTGTCCAGTCAGAGCGCGGCGCGCACATGGAAATAGTTTTATGTGCAAATTTACGAATTTCAAATAAAATATTCTATGCAATATACTATATACATGTATATACTATTATTGTACATATGTAACTAAATAAAAGTGATTTGTTCTTGCTATTTTTTTGACGTTTGCGCCACTTGAGTGCCTGCCCCAGGCGTCACATACTCGCGCGGCACATTGCAAATAATACACGTGTATTGTGAACTTTTGAAAGTAAAACTTATTTATGTATGTATGTATGTAATTAAGTATGTGTGTAACTGCATATTTAGCATATTGAAATTGTTGAGTTTTTCGCTTAAAACTGCTTAGCTGTGCGCAGCGAACGTAACTGCTCTTGAATTGAAATACTCCAGAGCAATTCCAGTGACTGATTTGATTATGTGTACCATTTGTATGCATATATATTTGTTGCATAAAAAAATTCTATATACAAAATTTTATAAATTCCGTTAGCAAATTTTTGCATATAAATGTACCTAACTTCGCAGACTTCTAAACAACGCGGTACTGTTATTGATTATAAAAGCTTTGCTGTAAATGTCCAGATGAGGCAGAATATGCAGTAGAATCTGCTTCTAATTATGGATGTTTGTTTAGCACTACCACACTATGAGTCATGGTTTCAAATCATAGGCCAAGCAAAAACTAAAATTATTGAAAACATTAGTCTAGTCCACCATTGAAGCAGTGGCGGATCAGTGTATAATAGTTGGGTAATAATAAAATATTGCAGAAAAATATAAATCAGAGGAAGTAACAGTGCAATTCGTCAAAAATTATTTATTTTACGAGATATTCAAATATTAAATACAATTCAGATAAATATACGTAGTAACAAGAATGTTAAAAATATGTTGGAAAGAAAGAAATTTTAGATCCGCCACTACATTGACAGTACAATTCTGACATAATTGAACCGCATTGTTCGATATAGGCAAAAAAATTTCAAATCGGATTATGACATATGTATACTATATAAGACAGCTACGCGTATATATCGGAACAGTAGATTTGAATAATATGAATAATATAAAATTTCGTGAAGATATCTCATCATATATAAAAATTTCATCACGGACTTGATTTTTGATTGTTCAGTTTGTATGGCAGCGATATGTTATAGTGGTCCGATATCAGCGGTTTCAACAAATAAGCAGCTCCTACTTTCTTGGAGGGAAAAAGACGTGTGCAAAATTACAGATCGACATGGCTAAATCGATCCAGCTCGTCACCCTGCTCATTTAGGGTCTCCGAAGTTTTCCTTTTTCAAGTAATTGGAAGCGAGGTATCAATTTTCTATCTGATAACAAAAAAACTGTTAGCCGGAGAAAGTTCCCTTTATAATTAAGATGCTCATACTTGTGGAGTTTTTCGTAAAACATTTTTTTCGATTCCAGCTTAATATATATATATTCAAGATAATAGAATGGTACATAAAAATACTACTAATTTTAATATTTTTAATTTATTTTCCAATTTTCTGATACAAAAAATTTTTTTTTGATAATAAAAGGGTCTCTTTAAAACTGCTAGATAAGCATATATTTTTTACTCGGACGACTTTAATTGCCTTGACAAGAACTTCGAAGAATATATTTTATGGTTGAATTATATTTAATTGGTTGCTTGATTTTAAGAATTCAATCAAAGATTTCAAGCAAAGATGTTAGCAAGTAAATTAAATACAAAAGCAGCTTTGATTTTCTTAGTGCGGTCGTTTTTCGCATTTTCTGGGAAAAATTACCCTAGTAAAGTTGTGTATATTTTTTACATTATCAGAAAGTGCAGATTTCAACGAAGGAAAAGTCTACTTTATGTAAACAATTATAAATTGAAAATAAGGGTTCTGTTTTGATATCAAATCAAAATATGATCAAAAAAAATAAGAATTTTAAATCAAAAAAATTAAAGTATATTCGGGACATAAACAGTTAAGGTTAGGATAGGCTATATATAGCTTATAGCTTGATGCTATTTCTAGTGAGGGCAGACTCTTCTTGTCTAGCCTTAAGCGTACGGTTAGCGCGCTCAGCGCTAGTATTGCCGCTCTGTTGACGGAGTGATTGCTCACCTCCCTGAAAGAGGCTACATTTCGTAGCAGTAGGTCTACCGTCACCTTGATAGCAGCCACTTTTGCCTGAAATCACTACGTAGTTCGGTAGCCTAAGGCTAAGATAAACGGAGAGCGTCGGCATGTCCTTGTTCGGACCCCTAGCGCTATTATTGGAGTAGTCCGTAGCGCATCGGAGATGCCGATGAGAGCCGCTCTTTGGACACGCTCAAGTTTTTAGCAAGTGTAGCTTTTCCGAGCGCACTTCACCAGACAAATATACCATAGAACAATATTGGCTTGACTACGGTTTCATAGAGCCAAAACACGACCTTTGATGAGAGTCCCCTTATTTGCCCTATAGCTCCTCTGCAGCAATATAAGGCAATCAATGCTTTTTTAGCTCTCTCCTCAATATTTAGCCTCCAATAAAGATTTCTATCAAGAATAAATAATAGGTATATCACCTTATCAACAGGTTGAAGACGTGAACCATCGAAAGAGGGAATAGGCACGTTTGGGATTTTATACATCCTAGTAAATAAAACCATTACAGTTTTACTTTGGTTGACTGCTAGGCCGATTCTATTTGCCCAGTTGGATATCACGTTGAAGTACCCTTTGACTAGCGTAGGCTATCACCCAACAGCCTCGGTCTTCTTTAAGAGGTCTGTCTGTATTCCCCCCGCGGGGTTCCCCTACCAACCTTTCGGAAAGTCTTAGCATTAGCCCACTCTGCCACGACCGTTCTGTCCCAAAGAAGACCATATATAAGATGCTTATGGTTCGATTTCACACTAAACTTTTAGGGCTTTAACCACCTTCTCCAGCCGCACTTTATTGGAGGCCCCCTCGATGTCGAGAAAGGTGCCTACAGCAAATTCCAGCCCTAAATTTACATCATGCAAAGCAGTGTCGATCGACCATGCCTTTAATATTGGCATGCTTGGGGCCCTTAACAGTTTACCCTCAATATTCTGCTCTTGGAATAATTTGCACCAACGTAGGAGCTTTTTTCGGCCTTCAGTATAAACGTAACCTTAACCAGTCTCCAAGCCTTCGGAACATGGTCTAATCTAATACCTTGACCGTACGCTGCAATTGCGCCGATATGATGCCATCAGAACCCGGGGACTTTAATAGTTACAATGAATTCAGCGCCCAGGTAAGGTGATGTTCATCCAAAAGGTTCAAGCTCCCCCAGTGACAATTCTTCAGTGGAGCTGTTCAACGGAAAATGGGTATCCAGGAGTAGCATAAACGACTCCTCGCTGCTCACTATCCGACTCACCATTGCTCAGATACCCCAGTGGAGTAGAATTTTTCTCTGCAGTTTAGTTTTTTGTAAAAGAAAAAATTTGTAAAATATAAAAATAAAAAACTATGAACGCAGTTGTTCGAAATCTTCACATAAATTTTGTGTTTATATAAAAAAATATTTGCATATAACCTTTTTTTTTAATTTGGCATGAGGTATTGCTTAAGACAGTGGGTTAAACTCCGAAAAATGTGTTCAGATTGGATCGCTATAGCATATAGCTGCCATACAAACTGACCGATCGAATCAATATGAACATCTTTTTATACCTTATTATGCTATAAAAAATGCACATGTGAAGGGTATTATAGCTCCGGTATAGTTAACAATTTTTTCTCGTTTTTATATGAATATCTACAAAAAAACAAACTCGTTAGTAGGGTGTATTTCATATTTTCGCACCACCCTACAATTCACCTGTGAAGTATGTATGTAGGTAAGGTAAATACCAATTTCTTTATTTTTGCAAGCGTGTGACTGACCTAACCTAACTCTTAAAATTTAGCACACACATATACATACGTACATACATATAATTTAAAACAAGCTCATCTGCCTAATTGTGAGCACTCTGCCTGCGAACGCTGCTGATTGTGAAATATCCATGAATCAGTTCAATGGAAGCGTTAAAAATTAAGTAGTGCGCTGTATACATATGTATGTATATACAAGTATATAAATATATGTATGCATACATATACGTATGTGTGTGTGTTTGTGTACGCTTTACTGTAGCTTAAGTTTTTTAAATACTAGCTTGCCATATGCAGTCAACGCAACGCTAAACATTTCGCACACTTAGTACACAAATAGTATATATACGAAAAAAAAAAACCGTAAAAAAGGCAAAAACATAAAAGTTGCGGAAAAAATCCCAATATCTCGATATCTCGTCGCATGATGTTTCGTCTTGACCTTGAAATGCTTTCCATTCGCAGCGACAATGAGATAAACGTTCGAACGCTCCTACATACATACATACATACTTACATGCATATGTATATATATGCATATGTGAATGTGTAGGCTTTTGTTGTGGGCTACAACGCGTTTATTAAGGCGGCGACAGAAGCGCACGCAAGCACGAAGCGCAAACGCACAAAGCGAGCTGTAATTGTGCATGTGTATGTGTGTATTTATGTGTGCATGCAAATATGTATATTATATTTTAAATTATATCTACACATTAATTGCAAAACGCTTAAACTTACCTGTGGCTTTACGGCATGGAAGAACAGCCAGTCACTCTTCTACGGTTTCAGTTTCGGATTACGAACAGTTAACTTTCAATTTTTTACGCCACACTTCCTACCTTACACTTTGCAACACACAACAATTATGACGTATATATGTATGTAGACGCAGAATGCTGCTTTTGCAGAATTAAAAGTCAAAGCGAAAAGTGCTGAGAATTTGAAAAAAGCGTTGCGTGGCCGTAGTATATTAATTATTTTTTGCAACACAAAATCGTTGCTACTTCTTGTAGTATATGTATGACTAGTGTTTAGTGTTGTTGCTTATAATCTAAAATGAAATATTATATTTATAAATTTTGTTGTTATTTTTTATTTAAGAAAATTTTTATAATATAGTTATACTATGATTTTTTTATTAACAACAAATATTTAAAATCATATATTACAAATAATTATGAATTTAAATATTAGTTTTCTTACTTTTCAGTTTAAGTCTTTTCTAAATTATTTCAAATAAACTTTTTTTAAATTGCAAATAAAATAATTTTCTTCTCGAAAATTTGTATAGTTGATATAATTTTTTTGTTTTTAATTTAACATTTTTCATATTATATTTCGTTTTTAATAGCTTTAGAAAATTTTAACTTCAAATTATTCTAAATGTTTTTTTTATTTTCTGAAAACATTAGTTTTTTTTTAAATTTAATACTTTTAAGACGGCTAAATGCTAATAAAATTTTATTTGAAAACCTCACATGTGTATATATGTACGTGCATCTAAAAATTTTGTTTATATTTTTTTTTAAACTTCAGCTTTTTTCTGAATAAAAATTAAATTTGTTTTTATAAAAGCATAAATGTTTATATTTTTATACCCTGAGCAGGGTATATTAAGTTTACGACGAAATGTTTAACACCCAGAAGGAAACGTCAGAGACCCAATAAAATGTATGTATAAATATATATAAAAAATGATCAACATGACAAGCAGAGTCGATTTAGCCATGCTCGTCTGTCCGTCCGTCTAAGTTATCGATCTGAAATTTTGCACATGTTCTTTTCTCTTCTAGAAGCTACTCATTTGCCGATGTTGGTCCACTATATCATAAGCTGCCATAAAAACTGAACGATCGCAATTAAGTGCTTGCATGGCAAACTTTTTTATTTGAGGAGGCATCTTCATGAAATTTTACATTACTTATTTTCTATGGCAATAATACAATTTCCGAAGAAATTGTTCAGTTCGGTTTACTATATCATATAGCTGCCAAACAAACTAAACGATTGGAATAAGGTTATTTTGTTCTTTTGGAATCTTTTGTATTTGTGTAGGGTATTATAGCTTCGGTGCAACCGAAGTCAACGTTTTTTCTTGTTTATTTTTATATTTTGGCATTTTTATATTTTTGTAGTTTTCATGAAATATTGATATTCAGTCTTAGCGATTCTGTCTTTCAAAATTTTTTAAATAAGAACTGTAAATAAATGTAAATTTAAGGAATTCAAAATTTTAATTAAATTATTTTTTTTTCCGGACATTAATTAATTTTTTAATTTTTTCCACTAAATTCTTTGTATTTTTCGATTGTTAACATTTATTTACTTTGCTCTTAAGCAAAATTTAATTTTAACAAAATATAGAGTTTTTTTTTAAATTAATTATTTTTTTTTTTTGTAATTGTTTTTGTTTTTCCGAATCTTGGTCTTATAATACCATGATATATAAGTTTCTAATTTCTATTTTTTTTTTTTGGTTGTTGCTGTTTTAAATTTTTCCTTCAAATTTTAATTTTTTTTATATTTTTACCTTTAAATGAACTCTCTATATTGCACGAAATCACGCTTACTTGAGCTTATGGTAAATGTATAAACATACAAACATGTGTATGTCAGCAGGTGCTTCTAAGTATGTTTGTTAGCATATATGCGCACTGTTGGCTTTAAGAATTCTATCAGCGAATAAACACGTCCGACTTGTTTTCAAAATGTTGCAATAATAGTGGCATCAACAAACTGAGTACACATACATAAACCTTTGCACACAATCTAATTGTATATATATATATATGTGTGTGTGTATGTATGGTTGGTAAACACCCAGAAGCATGAAATGAAGTGAAAAATGCGTCAGCTTGTTAGCAATAGCGAAATATAAATGCCGTTATGGGCAGCGTGTTGCGCCAAACTTTGCCAGCTATGAATTGTTGCAATAAATTGCATACACTTGCCACTCACCACTTGTTTGCCGAAGCAAAAACAAAAATAAGAATAAAGTCAAATTCATAAAAATTTTCCTCATGCAATTTCGATTACTTTGCACTTGCACCGTCGCTTTTTGCCGAATTAAGTTGGAAAACGCGCGTTGTTTCTGAACCGCTGTTCAATCGCAGACTGATCGTAACGTTTGAACACTGAGCTGAGCACAACTTACTAACTTGGCCAGTTCCAAAAGCAGCGACGCTGATCGCATTGCTATTGTTGGTTTTTTTGTTTTCTGCTTCTCTCACTTTCAGCGTAATTTGCGTCGCCCATGTAAGCCGCGATCTTTTATATTTTCTTGGCTAATAAGCTGCTTAGCCGCATGCATGTGCTCGGTCTACACTAATACCAGCAAGCGTGTTGAAAACAAAAGATCGCATTCAACTATCCTAAAGCGGCGGCATCGTCGCCCCAGCAAAGTGCTTTTCTTGATGCTGCTCTCAAAACCAGTTTGATTCTATAGTACACTATCGTAAATGAAAACAGCAGCTTTTTAAATTGTTCTTGTAGACAACTGGCGATCGTCGTATAGCGTTTTGGCATTCAAAGCTCTCGCTTTGGTTTGAAACTTGAATACAAATATTTGTTGTGCGCGCGTGGTTGCAGTCTTCGCTTAAGCGCAACTTCAATTCAACGAGTGCACCACATGCTACGAAATTTCAAGCTTGATTGGTGAAAGAGCAGACTTATATAAAGGCCAGATGTATGTATATATATTAGCATGTGGTCATAAATTTTTTTTTAATCACAGTCGTGGCATGCAACTACTTTTCTTTTATACGAAAAATCAACAATTCAAGGGGGATGCTAGTGTAACGTGGAATTTAGTACTTCAAATTTCATAAATTACAACTAACTGTGAATCTGAGTAATTGTCTGAGTAGTGATGTTCTTAACGTCGTTGGTCTATTCCTGCTCATTATCATAGAACTGTGTGCTCAAAACCACTTAAATTGATGAGTTCTTGGTCTGAAAAATAACGAGAAATTGCCTTTACCTCAAAACACACTTATATGCAAAATATTTCCCGATGTCGCCCGGTTGATGTGTAATATTTAATGTCTTTCTATTATAACGACAATTGGTTCAGTTCCGTACTGATCAGTTTGTAGAAGTCAGCAATGCTCATCAGAGCATTCAAATTACAACACTTTCAAAAAAGCATGGCTTATCATTGCAGACAACAAAAGATTGATATTTATGGGCGCAATAAGTATTTATTACTTTCAGTGCTTGAGGACAACAAGGACATATGTATGACCAACCGATCTAACTAACTTATTAATAGTTGAAACATAATCGATCATTTAAAGATATTCCAAAAAAGTATATTCTATAGAGAGCGCTGAAGTCGAGAGTTTTTAAAAACCAATTAAACGCGTTTCAGATTATACTCTGGCATATATTATATTTGTATACTCTGAATAAGAAAGAAAACATCGAAGATCTTAGGTATAACCAAGCTGAGTCAACGTCAAGTCAAGCCACGCCTGTCTGTCTGTCTGTGTATAAACGAATTGGTCCCTCAAACTTTACACACTTTCTTTTCTCTCCAAAAAGCTGCTCATTTGTCGGAACCATCGATATCAGACCATTGTAGCATATAGATATGGATAGAGGTATGCACCGTGACCTATGTATGGTCTACTGTGCCCTCCTCTAAGTCACAACGACTCATCTAGCCCCAGCATATATATAAACTCTAATATACTGCGAGGAGCTAGTGAAGCGATGCGATCCCTGTTAGGAAACATGGGGACTTAATTCTGCGTGTGCAGGGTATAGCTTATAGCTGCCGTACAAACTGAATGATCGAATTCAAGTTTTTGTATAGAAAACTTTTTGGTTTAATAAGATATGTTCACGAAATTTGGCACGGATCATTAAACAAAGAAACGCTACAATCTCTAAACAAACTGTTTAGATCGAAAGATTATAGCATAGAGCTGCCATACTTGCTGTTCAATTTTTTTATTTGACACGTTATCTTCAAAAAATTTTGCATGAATTATTAGCGAGGTCAATATTCTAATCTCCGAAGAAATTGTTGAGAGCGGACGACAATAGCATACAGCTTTCACAAATTGGCCGATTAAATAGAGACGATTATACCCTTTTTTATTTTAATTTTTTTTATATTTTTTTTGTTTATTTGATAAAAATTAATAAACTTAATTACTACAATAAACAATAGTAAAACGATAATAGGTATATACGTACAGTGTCTCTAGACGAGCTCTCGAGTACTCCACTATCAATAATTAGTAACATTTCATTAACTAATAATATTATGTATAACTTAGCTTAGTAGATATATAGTATATACTTGTATTTGTTTGCAAGGAAAAGGTAAAAAAACGATGCATAGGTGATTTTTTAATATAAGATGAATAAAAGAAGAACAAGAAATCAGACCAGATGTGTCAGGGAGTGAACTAGTTTTCATTATCATTTAATAGCGACCAGCAGTTCTGCTTCATCAATGTGGTTTCAGTTTTGCCTCTAAACAAAATGTATGTGTCGAAACGTCTGTTTTCAGCAGCGAATATTTTCGATGTGACTACTTTGTTGTTAGCTCTTCTAAATATGTGATAGATTATTAGTATGTTGTCTTCATTTTGGATGAAACTATTTTTGTCCAAGTAGAGAAAGGATTCTGGTGGTGCAAATCCGTTTGCAATAGCTAATGCAAAGTAGTCATCACTTTCGTAAAAAGGTGGTCTAATTAAAGTGTTATTGTCATCATATAGGCTGCGACTTATATGCTTTCTAATTAGATTTGTGATGTGACAATCCATTATGGGAACTTTTGCATGATCGGATTATTATTCTCTCGAATTTTGTAAGTCATATATGAAGGAGAGATTTTAAACCAAATTGAACATCCATATGAAAGTGTTGGTCTTACTAGTGATTGATACACGATAGTTTTTAGCCTGTTATATAGCAGTTTTGAGGAAAACATTTTTTTATAAGTATAAAGGGCTCTATTTGTTTTTAAGATTTGTAGATTGATATGATCATTAAAATATAAAAACTTATCGAGGTGAATACCAAGATATTTGATTCTCTCCTTACGCTGTATTTGGCTATTTGCTACACTGGATTTTATATTAAACTCCTGCCAGTTTTTTTTTTAACGCTTGAGTTACATTTATTAACGTTATGTCGGAGTTGTAAATGACAATGTCGTCAGCGAAGGCTACAATGTTGTCCATTTTTTGTACTAAGTCGAGGATGAAAAGTTTAAACGGAATTGGAGCATTTACTGTCCCTTGTTCCAGACCGTTTACTACGTAAAATTGGCGACTGCGTTTTATTATTTATATGTACTGAAAATTTTTTGCCGGATATCACGTTATAAATAAGTGTAATCACATGGAGAGGGAATTTATAGCTGATGAGCTTAAATATTAACCCTTCGATCCATACTCAATACTTTCTCAAGGTCAAAGAAGCATGCACCTGTGATATATTTCTTATTCCAGTTCCAGTTTATTTCGGAGACGAGAAGATTAATGGCATGTATAGTCGAATACCTGTATTTGAACCCGAATTGCTTAGGGCTTATTAAGTTGTTGGTTTTAGTAACTATATTTATATTTATATAAACAAAAACTTCAAAAACTTTACTAATATTTGGTAGCAGGCTAATTGGTCGAAGGTTTTTAAGTTATCTTTGTCCTTATCTTTCTTTGGTATCACAATTAGTTTAGCTGTTTTACCTTTTATGCTATAAGAAATGCATCATTGAAAGGTGCTAAAGCTTCGGTGCAGCAGAAGTTAACATTGTTACTTGTTTAAAATAATCCTGCATGTTATTTTAGAGTGAAGAAAGAGATTGTATTATGTCGATACTACAAAGAAATCAAATTCGAGTAGCGTGTATGAGTTCTGTTGCAGAAGGAAATAATTATACCCTGAACAGGGTATATAAAGTTTGCCACGAAGTTTGTAACACTCAAAAGGAAACTTCGGAGAGCTTATAAATTTTATATGCAAATGCTTGTATGGAAATCTTTTTCATTTGACGAGATATTTTTACAAGATTTGGCTTGTATTGTTGCTTAAGGTAAAAATGCAATCTCCATGGATCGAATCACTACAGCATATAGCAGACATACAAACTGAACGATCGGTATCAAGCTCTTGTATTCTTTTGGAATATTTTGTATTTGTGAAGGGTATTGTATCTTCAATGCCGCCTTGTTTTTATTTTTTTTTTTTTTAAATCCTCACTATAGTAAAATTATGAACACCACAGCAAATGGACAAGTTTGCAATAGCTTTTTCTATAAGTTTTTATATACACCTTAAGCGGATCAACTTACAGAGAAACAAATTGACTAACAGCACTTCTATATATGTATGTATGTGAACACAAACAAACACATAAGCATACCTCAGCCGTAAAACTCACCTTGACACTCAACAATCCTTCGCACCAACAACAAAGAGCTTGAATAGCGGTATAAGATGCTCGAAGTTATGTTAACGCAATCGCTCAGCGCACAACAAATACACACACATACGCACACAGAGAGACATACAAGTACAATAAATAACTGGCATAACATTTTTATTAAAATCAGCTATAAATAACAAAAGAACTCGCTTATTGCAATTTTGTGCGAACGTGAGGGTTTTTGTTGTATGCTAAAAAAAAAACAAAAAACACATTGCAACGACAACAACAACGACTACAGCAACAAAGCGGCAAAATCACAGATTTTAGCGACAATAGAAATTTTCCAGCTGCACGCGTACGCCAGCCAAATGCGCTCGGCAAAATTGGGAGCGCACAGGAGGCGAACCCAAACTGCAAGTAGCCGCCGCGCCGCAGAGTTATTCGAATAAATGTTGCAGTTATAACGGAGAATCAGCTGTATGTATGTGTATGGATGGATGCATGGAAGTCGGTGTGTTTGTCCCTGTTCTGCATTGAAAGTAGGTCATTTGTGCTTAAGCGAAAGAATAACAACAAAAAGGCATACAAGAAGAACGTAAAAGAGAACGAACGAATTAAAAAGAAACCGCAAGTGAGAATTTATTTATTTAACTTAAACGAAAAAAAAATGTGCAACTTTTCTAATAATGAATTTCACTTTTCATGTTATAAGCCAGCAAACACATGCACACATATACATTTTTACACAGTAGTAGTGACA